CCCCTTATAATATATGTACTCTGTAATTAATGGACCACAGTGGTATCCGAACACATCTCTTTGCCAAATATGTGAGAAGGAAAATGCCAGATCCATTGACGGTGGATTAGAGTGAGAAGGTTCACCAACACTCCCCGCTAAGCGCCTTTTCCTTCAGGTTGGAGATCGCTTAGATCATCGTAATTTAGATCTTCGTCATCCTCTCCATCCGCGTCCTCGGGTTGATGTTCAGGCGAAGAGTCGCTGGCATCCTGCCCCCCATCAACACCCCTTGCCTTGTTTGCCGCCTGGGCGTTACTTCGTTCTACCACCGGCTCCAATTGGGCAACGGCCGCAACCTGAGCAGCAGCTTGTGCCTGAGCGAAAGCAGCCGCTACGGCGACAGGGTCGTACCCCGGAGGGGAGACCATGGAAGGGGGAGCTATATTCGCCGAGCCGCTAGAAGCAGTAGCAGCGGGATTTATGTTCCCGTCGGTGTTTCCCAAAGGATTTGGTGCGGTAAGAACAGGAAGGAGCGAGGACATAGGATTCATGGAGGCCGGATTGACACTTCCTGTTTGCTGCTGCAGTGCGGCGAGTTGGGCTAGCCAGGCAACGTTCAAGTATGGTAACGCTGCTGCCATTGCCGCCTGTTGTGCCGCAAGTGATGGATTTGTGACTTGAGCGCCCGGTGTAAGTGGGAAGGGCATGGGCGCTCCAGGCAGAGTCACTGCTGCAGGCCAGATACCGAGTTGAGAAGTGTCGGGGGTAAAAGGGTCGTATGTGCAGGGTTGAGCTTTCCGATGGCAGTTGGAGCATCCGGGGAAGTTGCGGTCACACGGGAGATCTTGACCTAAAGAACAAGAAAGGATATGAATTCCGGAAGTTCAGGTCGGAAAGATTGCTACGAACTTACCGCGACAAAAGTGACAAGGTAATGGGCTGAGGAACGGCAGCGGCATGAGCATCCCCGGCAATGCCATCGTTCCAGTGGCACTGCTAGGCATAAGCGGCTCAGCGATAAGTAAATCTCACTGTAGGATTATCAATTCGTACCTTCCGCCGTTCAGAGCTCCTGCCGAAACCGAGCTACCTTCCCCTCCGCCATCGGCCTGATTGCGGGCCGTAGCGCCGTCCTTTCTCTTCCTTCCACCCTTTCTAGCTCGAGGTTGGTCCGAGTAGACACATTCAACACCTCTTCTATGACAGTTCAGGCACGTCGGCCGCTCAGCCGAGCATTTCTTTCGTCGTTCTGTTGGAAGTCCGTCAGATATTTCACTACCGATGACATACAAGACCAACCTCTGCAAAACATGCAAGCCAGTTCCGAGACGTTCTCCCGTTTCGCGAATTTGCGCGGCACCTTTTCTACCGGCTTCGCGGGTCTGGGTGGAGCGGCCAACGGTAGTATCGGGGCTCCAAGATCATCTGCAGAAGGTTTCTTCGTACGTTTGCGATCGAAGTGCGATTTGTTTACGAGGTCGAAGGTGCATTCGAGACTACGGTTCGCGCAGGTCTGACATGGAGGTCCTCCGACGCACCGTTCTTTCCGACCTGTAAAAATCCAGTGAGACTTTGGGAACAAGGCATCCAATGAAGTATCCAACATACGTTTACAGAAGTCGCATGAAGGAGTATGTCGTCGAATCCCGCTCCCGCCTCCAGTTCCAGGGCCATACCCCACCACTCCGACGATGGGTGCCGCGGCAAGGTTTGCCTGAGCGACGGCTCGCTGATCAACCGGATCTTCTGGGACACCGGACTCTCCAGCCTTGCCCCGTTTCTTCTTGGTCGGAGAATCCGGGGACGAAGGTGGTAGGTCGGCATCGTCAGCAGCAGGCGTCTGTGGGGCTCTGGGGAAAGAAGATGGAGGCTCCTCGTTCTGGTTACTAGCACTTTGTCTGGCCGCCTCGTTAGGATTTGGTAAATTGGAAGTGGAGGCTGTTGGGAGCGCCGAATCCATTTGGACTGGTCACACGGCAGCCGCTGCAAAATGAATGGTTTGGCTCTGAGAAGCAAAGTATTCTGCGTTTTTGTAGTCCTGGAATTACCAGTGTTCGAACTGTCCAGAAGCTTACGCTGGTGGTCCGACGGAAAGAGCGGAAGAGTTGCGGAGCAGTAAGAGTCGGAACAAGGGGCTGCGCCACCTAGTCCCACGGTTCACATAGTCGAACAACAATCCTCGCGCACATCAAACAGGTCTAAAAACTTAGCTAGTTCGCTAACAGTTGATATAACTGGAGTACCTGGAGTGACTAACGCACTACTAGGTGTATCGTCTATTTACAAGGGTGATGAGTTCTGGTAGGAAGGTAACGAGGTTCACCCCCGACCAGCGTGATGTCAACGCGTGGTGATGATTAGCTTTGACCAAGCTTTTCTGCCTTGCCCTCTGTGAGTCCTCCGTCGACTGCTACAATTGACCAACCCTCTTCCTCCGGGGAGCTCTCGGTAGCTTCTCGAGCCTCAGTTGGACTCGGATCATCCAGGCCCTTGAGACGAACTTGCACCTGGAAAGTCGCCGGCTTCTGTGTTCCTGTGCGCTTATTTTCCGTTGCTCCCCAGGTCTTCAGTCCCCAGTTGGGCCTCAGAATCGAAGTGGCACTTCCTCCTTCAGAGAGAGGAACAAGCCAGACATCTGGTGGAAAGTCCATATCACTACCCGGGACCCAGTGCCTGTCTGACGGTGGATCCACGTGTAAAGTTGCGTTAACGCTCGCCGAAGGTCCATCCAACAAGACGAGTTCTACGCTCTCCATCGTTAACTCGAGTGCCCATGCACGTCCTTCGGTTAGCCACTCGATTGTCACACTGCTTGATTTCTCTCCCACTTCGGATGGTTTGTCCAACGTCCAAGCGGCGGGATAACGAAGCCTCATGCCCAGGTTATTGATGGTGACAGATATTTCAAAAGCGTAAGGGTCACTGAAAGATATGAGGTGGTTTATTTAGACGCAAGGTCAGTTTATCGTGACGAGCTTCTCAGCGACGAGTGCTCACCTTGAACTTATTTGGTATAGGACGTCAGGTTCAAGAGTTTCTCGCAGCAGCTGCATAAGCTCAATGTCTCCCACAGATTGGCAGGCGGTCCGAATCATCCTGGATACCTTGCTTCTCGGGGTGCGGATTAAGAGGAACATTAACAGTTCTGGCTGCTCCCTCCACCGACAACGATGGATTTCCCAGACCAACGGCGGGACGTCGACGGGAGTCATTTCCTCGGCGAGAAGCTCGGACAGCGAGAAATTCTCTTTGGTTCCTCAACGTTGGTCTATGCAGGGAGTCAAAGTCACAGACTGATGGTGGTGAGTGGTTTGCTTGTATCTGCCCTTGTGAGCGGCACAGCCTTCCCCGCATGCCGACCAGCAAAAATTGGCCATCGTTCGCATCAAGCAAGAAACAATACGGCGCATTCCTGGAAGCTATCCTCCTAAGCGAGAGATCACATATGTACGACATTTCACAAATCTGGCAGATCGAATCTGACATGAAAGTGAGTTACAGTGTACAACGTTCCGACAAACTTGACCAATCGGTCAACCGACTATTTTTTATCAGTGCGCTCTTCAACGTCCTCGTCCTTTCCCGTGTAACTTGCTAAGACCCATCCTGGATTGGTCTCCTCCGCTTCCTCCGCTTCTTCTGCGAGCACGGGCTCTCCATCGTCATCTTCGATGACCCAGTCGTCTTCGGCTTCGAGAGTGCTCTTGACGACCTCTTCCTCCTTTTCGACCTTCTCCTTTTCGACCGTCTCCTTTGCGACTTGGTCTACGTGCCCGAGCTTGACTCTTAATTGAAAAGACACAGCTTCCCCACTATCCCTGCCCTCTCCCCACGACTCCGGTCGCCATGCTGGTTTTAGGATCAACGAGTTCCGTCCTGCTCTAGAAATTGGAAGTAGGACGTTGGCCGGTGGGAACTCCATATAACAATCCTGGGCGGAATTTCCTTTGGTAGGCGGCTCAACGTATAGACTTGCTGTCACAACTGCGGGAGGTCCCTCTAGCAGGGTGAGCTCGACAGCGTCGGTCTTCACCTCCAGAGCCCAGGCACGTTCTTCTACAAGCCATTCGATATTTACGCTCTTCGGCTCCACGACGGGTGTTGCCAAGATCTTGATATCCTGTTCGGTTTTCACTGAGGTCCATGCCACTGTTTTCGCATCAAGTTTGCTAGCCAAGCTCTTTACGGTAATGGACACATCGAACTCGACGTCGCTAGCAGACAAATCAGGAAAGTAAGCGCTAATCGATCTTTTCTCAACGGTAAAACCACCTTACCGCCAGTTCAAGTGACAGACAACGTCAGGCTCCAGCGTTTCTCGAAGGACTTGCATCAACGCATTGTCGCCCACCGCTTGACAAGCGGTGCGGATCATCCAAGGGACCTTTGCCCTCAAGGTACGAATGACGAGGAACATCAAGAGCTCCGGCTCCTCCCTCCACCTGCACCGCTGGATCTCCCACATCAGCGGAGGAACGTCGCCGGTAGACATGTTCTCGGCGAGGAGCTCAGGTAGCGAGACGCCGTCTTTCTGGCAAGAGGACTCGAGATCCTCCAAAAAGTCGACGGCATCGCTCGGATGCAATCCTTCGTTCAACATCAGATCGGTGATCATACTCAAAGCCGTGGCACGGGTCACTCGATCCTGGCGATTGTTCGATTGATAGCCATCGTGGAACAGCGGGGCCATCCAGTCGGGCTGCTCCTCTGTGCAAAACGAGCTTAGCACTTTAGTGGTTTGGTTAGCTGCGGCGAGCGACATTGGACTGACCCTGCTGAGACCGCCAACTAGCTCGGTTTCGTCTCCTTGACCCTCCTCGGTTGAAAGGCGCAGCGTTTGACATACTGCACGTCGTTGGATGAGGATTGGTGGGAGGGAGTCAAGGTGATAGTTGAAAAGTGAAGGAGGCTGTATATCTTTCCATATGGAAAGGAGATTAATGAGGACCATGCCGATGGCTGTGCCTCCGGTAAAAGAAACACCTCTGACCACTATCAATGAGGCAATTTATTCAACAGCCTCTATGGTCTAGTGGTACGATACTCCGTTTGGGCGAGCTGTTATACAGCAAGTGATTCGGAGTGGTCCTGAGTTCGATCCTCAGTGGAGGCCACCCTTTTGCCCTTGCCCCGTTGGTAAATGGTTACGATGACTCTGATTCCTTTTATGCTTCCATTTGGAAAGTGAGGGGGAGGGCAAAGGCCATCAAAGCATCGATCACCTCCCATGCAAGATTGCTAAGTCAACTTCGATCATCCCTCACATTTCATTCTTTTCAAGCCGTCCGGGCAGCAATCGTGGCAGTATCTCACATAACGAGAAGCTTGGTATCTATCTGCATGAAATTGTCTACTATACACAAGAAATGTTCAAGATATTGTTTATAGATGCGATGGTGAATGTACTGGAGAGACGGGAGACGTAGGAGCAAGGTGCGGCATACTACGCGTTATGAGAACGAAAAAGTCAAATGGGGGGCGTCAAGAAACTGAAATCTAATACTCGAATCGATCGGGCGTCCTCATCCGGGCAGTCGTATCCGAATGACTGGAGGAGTCCGTCTCGCGGATGCTGTTGTTGGTGGAATCTCCCCCGATGGTGGACGACGGCGCGAGGGGTACACCCCTGAGCGACGGACTTGGGATGGCGAGTCCCAACTCGTTGTTGGCGGCGTACTGGCTCAAGAACCGACTGACACGGTTGTTCTTCTCGTCGATTTTTTCCTCGCGGTTGACCCTACGCAAGGAGGGATCCCGTCAGCTCAAGCGGCGGAGCACATGGAAAAAGAAATACTCACTCGTCTCCATCAGCGAAGAAGCTCTCCCTCTTCCCGGCCCCAAAGTACCTCACAGGTACGGTGTTATCGCTGGGCGTCTGGGGTCTCGAGTCCGGTAAGACCGGTGGAGCGGTCATCCTCTCCAACCTCTCCCTCTCGGCCTCGCTGATCTCGATACGGGTCTTCCCTTTGCCTTTATTCAACGCGGGCACCATCACAAACGACCCGTCGTCTCCCAAGCTCGGCGCGGGCTTGCGCTTGAACAAGAGGGGGTTCATGACTTTCGACGCTAAGCTCTGGGAGGAGTTGTTCGCCGAGCTGGAGAGGAGCAAAGGGGACGAAGACGTTCCGAGGGGCGGACTTGAAGTCGATTCACCGGGAGGAGTGAGAGACGGAGAGGGACTCGGGTTGGACGCGGATAGAGGAGTCGGAATCGCGTCGAGCGTACCCTGCGACCCGGCGCGAGAAGGGAAGCCAGGTCGAGCTGCACCCGGAGGCAAAAGCGCGTGCGGGTTCGCGACAGGGGTAGTAGACTGAAGTTCGCTGCTGCTGACGGACGACTCTTTCTTGAAAGGGTTCTTCATACCGAACGAGATCCTCCTCGGACGACGCTTGTCCCCGTCCTCGTCGCTCGGTGCAGCGGCGGGGGAAGGAGCGTTCTTCAACCCGAAGGAGAACCGGCGGGAGCGTCGCTTCTCCTCTGTCGACTCGCCATCTGCCGCGGGGGTAATCGAAGAAGAAGACGACGAAGGGAAAACGGCTCCCGAAGCGGTTGCTTGACCCGGCGCACCAGGAACGACGACGTTCGCGCTCGCGTTCTTCATCCCGAACGAGAACCTCCTCGACCTCGGCTTCTCCTCCGCGGGTGCATGGTTCGACGGCGAAGGTTGTTGGATCGCACCGGGCGAGACGGCGAGAACCTGGGCCTGTGGGTTCGACTTACCCAACATGGGCTGTGCGGCACCAGGTGGTAGCGCCATCCCACCACCACCACCACCACCACCTCCCATAACCAACTGCTTCAACTTCTGCGAGCTGCTCATCTTCCTGAGCCTCCCCAACCCAAATCCATTCCCAGTCGCAGTTCCAGAGGCGCGATCGTCCTCGGCACCGGACTCGCTGGCGTTGGACGGCCTCCGTTTCCTCAATAGGTTCCTCATCCGCCCACCTTCGGACGCAAGCGAGCGCTTATCGGCTTCCTCCCCCGCGCTCGCACCACCACCAGCAGCAGGATCGAGGTCGACCGAGCTCCGTCGCCGCGCCCTCATCCGCGCGCCGTTGGAGTTTGGGTTTACGTGCTTTTCGATTGAGACGCGGGGTTCGTACTCCTCCCCTCCTTCCTCCTCCTGCTGCTGCTGCTGGGCGGTGGGCTTCATCTTGCCCATCCACGATTTCGGGCGAGACCATTTGAGCGAGGGTGAGGAAAGGTCGGTTTGGATGGGCGCGAGATGTGGGCGGAGGGGAGGATGGTCTGTCGTGCTTGAGGGGAGGGAGATGGTGCGTTGGCGGCCGGTGGGAGCTGCTTCGGGCTCGGGCTCGGGTGCGGAGGAAGAGGGTGGGGCGACTGCTAAAGAAAGCGGGACGGGTTTCGGAGAAGATAAACCCTCGCCCATCGCAGGAACATGAGATGGCTCGGAAGGTTTGGGAATGAGGTTGGGCGTCGACCCGGATGGGGAGTTGTTGCTCGAGTTACGCTTGAGGAACAGCAAGCTGCTCCTCTTACTTTCTGGCCCAGAGTTGTTGTTGGTGTTGGTGTTGCCTCCGGGGGTCGTGGGGCGGGCTTCTTCGTGCTGCTGCTGTTGAGGCGGAGGCGGCGTCGGCTGTTGAGCAGCTGAAGAAGGGAACGGGATACCCTGCGCCTCTGCGAGCCTCTTCCTCTCCCACTCGCCAAGGACGATGGGCGGGGGAGGCAACGCTACAGCACCCCTTCGCGGACTGGCTCCGGGGCTCGCGAGCGGGCTTCCAGCGAGACTCGCAGCGAGCCTGGGGCCGGGTAACATACCCGTACCCGAAGGCGGGCGGAGGTGCGTCGAGGGAGGTCGTTGAGACTGTTGTTGTTGTTGGGGGGCGGAAGGGGCACGCTGGTGAGACGCCGGTGGACGAGACAAGACCGCTTTGTTGAAGGCTTCCCATTCTTCGAGAGTTTGAGGGATCTGGAAGGAGCGTTGTCGGACGCTTGGCGCTTGTGATGCGCCCGATGCGGGTGGTTGAGGCTCCTCGGACGGTGGGGAGGCGTTCTTTTTACCGGACTTGGAACGGCCGGAGAGGGAAAAGGAGAGACGAGAGAAGGATTTGGTCAAGGGGTCTTTTTTGCCGCTCTTGGCGGGTACGGCAGCAGGATCGGGGAAGGGGGGTTGGGGAGTCACGGAAAACGCTGCTGGTGGGATAGGAGCTGCTCCCGACTGCTGCGAATACTGGTCTTGCTCAAACGGCCTTGGGGACGTGCCCGGACCTCCCGCAGGCGCTTCGGTCGCAGCCCGATAACGGTTGTACCCCGCAGCACCCGAGCTGGGCGCTGGGACCGCGAACCTCGAGGGCGTTTTACGTGCTTGGAGGTTGGGCGACCTCGGAGGCGTGTCGGCGGCGTGGACTCTGATGCTCTGGTTGAGCTGGGGAGCCCATGGGTCGCTCGCGTATGGGTTGGAGGGCTCCGGCGGTGGTGGTGGAGATGGAGTGGTTGGGTGGGCGTGGTTCGAGGACGGAGGGGACGAGATGTCTTGGAGGGTTGGTTGAGGGGACGGAGAGTTTGATGGATCAAAGGTTGGGACTCCGGTGTCTGAGAAGGAGGTTGGAGGGATGAATGTAGGTACTGATGAGTAGTACTGGACCGCAGCAGCCGCTGAGGACATGTCGTTATCGTAATGGTGTGGCAAACGGATGGAAGGTGCCAAGTAATGGTTGTTGGCAGAAGAGGGAGAGGTATTTCTGTTGGCTTCCATCGTTGCCCGTCCCAGAACACGTCTTTATAAATAGCAAGATAGAGTGATGTGTGTTTGTTGCGGGGGGGATGGTGGCGGGTAGGAGAGCGTTGTGGCCGAGCGCGAGAAAAAAAGCCAAAGCGAAAATTCGGACCCTTGGCGGCGAGGCTGTCACCCGCAACACGACAAATGTGATGACGCAGCACGGATATCGACTGCGGCCTCCAGTCACCAACACCGCAAAGCGCTATTTTAAGTGCCTTTGTTAGAAAAGGCTGTCTAAGCACTCTCCACCACTCACAGTACCTGTCAGCCCTCAATTACACTGTTCGAATAATGGGTGGTCCTAAATCACGTGCACAGCCACGTTTCCTTCCAAGAGCCCCTCTCCACCTCGGTCCGACCGAGTCCCCCATGCTGTGCATCCCGACTCTCCGAACTTCACACACAAAGAGCAATCGCGAGGCGGGAGAGGGATGATTATATAATAAACGTATACGAACACATCACATAAGCGCGCACAAGCACCACGAAGCGCGGTCTCCAAGGGTGTTTATGCCGCTTTTCGCCAGACTTCGCCCGCATTCGGCTATTTTTGTGGGCGTACACAAGACAAGATCAAGCGCTGATAGAAGGCATAATCCCATTCTTGGCAAGTTCTTGAGCTCAGCCTCAAGGCTTCCTCTCGTTTTCCATATCACCTGAGGACGATAGACAAGCCAGGGAAGGGAGAGACACGACTCTGTCAGCCACAATAATGATACTCCCAGTCCCCTACAACGGGGAAAAGCGTATCTCCCCGTCTCGCAGGGAAAACGAAACACACGGCAGGCACTACTCACATTGCAAGATCCCTCTCGCCTCGTACACCCCGGAAACGAACGCCTTCCCGCCCTCACGGTCCACCAGTCCAGTCGCGCTAGCCGAGAACCCGCTCCCATCGCTCTGATACACCGTCTTGACCACCCACTTATCATCCAACGGTGCTCTCCCGTGACTCGGAACGGGCGCCAAGTCCATCTCGTCCTCCTTGGTGCGCGGTGAGACCTCCACAACCCAACTCGCGGAAACCTCTTTCTTTCCTTTCACAACTTTGATCAGGTCCGGGTAGAAAGGCGTTCCCGAGGCGTACAACCTCCACCTCCCAGCACCATCACCATCCCCACCATGCTGCCGAGAGCGGTCGGAGTCCTCCTCCTCGAACGCGAGGTTATCCGCGTGGAAGGGCACGACCACCCGCGAATCGTACGTTAACGCGTTCGTACTGGCGTCTCGCTTGTAAAACCGGATAGACATCTCGGTGCTCGACGCGACGGCGACCGTACCCCCATCCGGCGACAGCGCGATCCCGTTCGCAAAGGGGATCTTCACCCCAATCGCTCGACTCACAGTCATGCCCACGTTGTCATCGTCGTCGA